CGTATACATCGATGATATTTTGTATGTAAATAATCGAAAACAAAACTCTTTTTTTCTCTTAACTCCAGGGATAGATTTCAGTGCGCTTCGGTTTACAAATTAGTATTGGCCTGAGGAACAAAATGCACTATGGTTTCATTCTGGGCAGCACTTGGTCCAACTTCCATACATGGATTGGCACTGTCCTTAATTTTTGTCATTTATTTGTAAGAATTAGTAAAACATTTCTTCCAGTAAATCATTAAATTCTTGTATAAAAAAATGTGATACCACTCGGTTGAATTAAGGCCGTCGCACATTTATCAACCCGGTAAGGGATCGCAACCGTATCAACTCGAGGCGGTCAGTATTCTTTGTATGAAACTCCATACTTCAACGCACACTTATCCGCTCCGCAAGTAAACCACTCGCCTCGCGATAGACAGCGCGCGAAAGCGATGACAGCTCACAAAAGGCGATACGGTGTCGTTCCCTTTCCGAGTTGATATGTCTGCTATGACCTTATACTGAAGAAATCTACGTACTCTTTTTATAATTTTTAATTAAAATCGACTCTTTAATGAATGGGAAAACCTCACCTTTCAATAACTTCAACTTTATCAAAATTCATACAACAAACCAAAACTCGAACTTTAATTCAACCGTGTGTATTATTTGAAAACTAACTCCATCCTTTTATCACATCCTTTGGAAGTCCATTTTTACAATTTCACTTGTTAAATGTGCATAAATTGATAATGTTACATGTTTGGAACATTTAAATTGCTTTATCTAGGATAATGTAAATTGAACATCATTCCATCCATGAAATGTATTGGATCCGATTCTGAAATAAAATAAGTGTAATTAGACGTATTTGATTGATTTTATTCTACTGGCTGATTTGAATTTTGTCAAATGGATGTTAGGCTGTGGACACACAAAGCTTTATTGAATTTCAAAAAGGGAATTATCTGTACGTGGTTACGTTGCGCTATACGAGTATGTAGAGTTCATTTTGTGAGGAACTGTACTGAGGAGTTAAACTCAATTAATAATGCATGCTAAGAAAGACACATTAGTTCATTGAATTTTGATCCAATCAGTTGGTCTTAACGAATGATTATAATGACAATGAGGGGTTACCGTATTTGCCCTCCACAGTTGGCACCACTGTCATGGACACTAGCTAGTGACCTTACTCATCAGTAGCCACAGATAATGAGCTACTAGTGCAATAGTGTAGCGCCAACTGTTCAGCATAAATAATCATTGTCTCAGAGCAGACCACGGTTTTCGTGTGTCCACAGCCTTAGAATGATATTTTTACACGGTTTGCAAGAAAAATAAAATTGATAATTTTAGTTGGTACGAATGAGGCGAGCTAGTCATTAAAAACATTAATTTTGGACATTTTAATCTTACAAGGCCAGTGACAAAATGACAAAGTCATTTTTAAAATAAAATTTAACTTACGAGTAGCTTGGATTTGTATTTAATATTTTTATTACTTACTCAATTCGTCCTCGAACCGTCTTGTTAACATTTTTTGAAACCAGCGTAGGTAATTTAATGTGTATCGTTTAAAATTAAGAAGCATACCCTGTACATAATCCTATGTGACTAATTATTAAGCATCACTCGTTAGCGTAACATGTACATTGTTTAATATAAAGCAACGACATTACTTAGGTATATCATTTTAAAACGCAAGTTGTAGATCCACAACATATATTTAATTAAACTATGTCATTAATGTAATTTTTAGATAAATGTGTAAATATTTTGTAAATACCTGCTGTAGTAAAATAATTAATTTCAAAGGTTTTATAATATTATTCTTTGATAAGACGATGCATCGTAAGTAGTGTGGTTTTGATTTATTTTTTTATTAAAAGTAGCTTTCTTTACAATCTTTATTCTATGATAAAATAATCACGGTTGATGAATCTCATTGCTTGTATTTTCAAGAAATACCTGTAGCTACGTAAAAAAAATAAAAATCACACTAAGCAAGTATTGATACGTTCTTGTAAGTACGATACAACAATATCCCTTTCCAAAACGCGTAGGTTTTTATCTACAATATTTTTATTACAAAATAGAAGATACCATTTTCTTTATTAGCGAATTAAGAACTGAATTTTTATCACCTACCTACTTTAGTGTTAGATGTAAATTGTGAATGGATCCTAATAATTTAAGATCTTGTAATTAGAACTAAGTTAATTCGTTTAACGTATTACTTATTTATGGTTACATTATAATGATATTTAGTGTGTAATCTTTTGAAATCTTCATTTCCGCCCATCGATACGACATCACAATTTTGTGATACTTAAATTAAATAAGAAGTGCAATTTAATGTCCAGGGCAAAAATAATGTGGTACCTTGCCTGGCTCTACGTCGGGGAGACAGTGCCTCGTGGATTTATAAGAAAACTAGTTTTTATTTTATTTTTATTTGATCCATTTCACTTTATTTTCGTAAGATTCATCACAAATCGGTCACATCACATTATTGTTAAATCATATTTGAATAACTTGTGTTGATCTGTGTCCACTGAAATAAATGTGTTTTTATAATTAAAGCAAATTTTAGAATCTATTTTTTAATCCTGTCTCCCCAATGTGTTGTGGCTCGATGTCCCGGTCCACGTAATGTAGATTTTTAATTTAATGTAGATTATTACGAAAAGGTGAAAAGATCTTCCCATTTTGCGGCTTTGGGTATTGTTTACGTGATTCAAAATAGATAAAAATATATAAAATAAAACGATAAAGTAACTGCACCAAAATTAGAAGGAATATTATTAAAAATAAAAGGCTATGATTTTCATCTTTCACACCTTTGTAGCCAATATCTACATTTTCTCAAACACAACTTTTGAGTTCAAGGGGCAATTTGATTTAAAGTATGCCCTAAAATAATTTACATATTTAAAAGTACGTACTAAGTTTTGATTTCCCATAGTCTGGGGTAGGCACCATTGCAGGAATACCAGGATTTTAATAATGGAGGATTTTCAAGGGACTATGGGGCAGTCAGGGAACAATCAGGAGACAGCGAGTCCGTTTTCACAAATGTTTATTCAAACTTTTATGAATCACGTAAAACAGTAAGTTCTCAAACGAAAAAGTCTTTCGTCCGTATTTTCAGGTGCAACTACATATTTACTTAAAATGTAAAATCAATATTAATATAGATTTCTCTTTTATACATTTAGGAGGCAGTACGGCACATTTCATTGAGAATAATAAATAGTGCTAATTTAGTAATTTTTATTATTCTGAACATTTTTATACTATTTTAAGCGACAGTCCATTACTTAGTGTACCTAACAAATTTAAATTAATATCAAACTAATTTAGTCTACTTAAGTCTTAGTGGTAAGATGAGAGAATGTAATTTTTGAAGGTGATTTAGGTAGGTACTTAGGTCTCTCAACGTGTTTTATATTCACAAAACTTTATTTGGTCTGGTCCTGCTTCAAGTAGTCTCATAACAAGTTTCAGGTCCTGAAAATGATGTTATGCTTTTATATTCTTGATTTTAAAAATATTTTTACCTTTGTGCATTAAAAACCAGCACGATGTGATTCATTATCATTGAATATTTTAAAGTCTTTATTGGAGAAATGCGCCATTTTGTGGTAGGTTCAATTTTAAGTGCGGGAGACGTGAACGTGATTATCTCTTCTATAAAGGAAATAAAACATTTAAATAATTGCGTGGAGGAAGTCCTTACTTTTTTTTTTAAATATTTTAATACCTATTACTCTACATTTTTATAAATTGGTAACTACCTAAAATTGATATATTATACAAAATAATTTTATGTTGAGGAGCTGATTTTAGATTACCTACTTCTATAGCTACATTAAATGTAAATAAGGTATTTTTTTGTTCCTAATGTGTTTTAAATATTTTTTTATCATTCAGTCGACTGCGGCCCAGCCGTCAGCGTCACCTTTATAAATAAGAAAGTAATTTGAAGAACTGGTTGTAAGAGTAATAATATGTGCTGCAAAGTGATGTTAAACTATTTCTTGTCAAATAAACGATTTCAGTGATCGTTGACGTATTGTTTTTATCACCTTCCTTCCCTTTCAAATAATATTTTACTTAAGAATTTTATGATATCTACTTACGAAAATTCATTTCATTTGTTTTGGTAGGTACACACTTTTTATGTTAGGTACCCTTCCGCTTCCACTACTTAGGATGAGTTGCACCACCTAACTTTGACCGTAACTATAACGATAACCGGTGTATTTTTTATGGAGTTGGAAAGATTTTTGACGTTTGTCAAAGTTAAAGTAAGATGGTGCAACACAGCCTTACTATTATACTTGACGTCAAAGCTGAAAACTTACATACGTAACATAAAAAAGTTTTCAGTACAAGGAAAGAATACAATTCTGCCGTCTATAAGCTAAAAGGCCGCTAAATGACAAAATCTAATTTTGAGCTAGAGCAGAAAAAAGCGGCAAAATTTTCAAACCGCTGCTGCTCAGTATCTATAAACANTTGGTGGCTACTACTGCTACTACTGCCATCTACAAAATTTGCAAAACTAGTGAACTTTTAGATAGTAGATTTGCTAATAGTTTAGACCACTAGATGGCGTTGACCATAGTACCTAGTTCTTAATATAAAAGATAGATAGCACTGACCACAGTACCTAGTTTTTAATGTAAAAGATAGATGGCGCTGACCATAGTACCTAGTTTATGTTATAAAAGATAGATGGCACTGACCACCGTACCTAGTTCATACTATAAAAGATAGATGGCGCTATAAGGAAGCATTTACGAAGACAGTTCTAAGACAAAACGAAAATCACTTGGTTCAAACTTTAGATACTAGATGGCGTGAAATGAGATTCTTAAGATCACGTGCATTTACGAAAGTCGTATTAATAATGAACATTCTACTACAAAAGTTTGTTTCTCTGGGTTTAGTGACATTTTAATAAAGAAAAAGAATACTTGTTTCAAAACCGCATGGATTGCGCTTTTGGCCAGCAGTGCCAGTGAGCAGTTCCTTCAGCCGGATATTCTAAATTCTGAATAGATGTTTTGACTATCTTCGTAAACTGGACCAAATGTCATTGATGTCATTCTCATAGAAATAATTATTTTGGATGACTTGTTTTGGTATTAAAAATCGAGAAAAGTTTCATTATAAGCACGAATAATAAAGCTGTTGTTACTATGTTTGTTGTTTTACTAAGCAAACTTTTCGGAAATTTATAATGAGGCATTAGCAACAAGGTAACGTATTTTTTTCTTTACATTTATAGGTTATGTATACCTATTTTCTTTTCAAAGCAGTTCAGTTCTCATTTTCTCTCTTTTCCAGAGAATAAAATGGCTCAAGGTAACGTTCAAGACAGGATATTGGAATACGAGAGATTCATAAACGATGTTTTGAAACAAGATTTGCGGGGAGTGGAATCACAACTTGTCGCAAATAACGCTGAAATCGCCGATCTTCTTCAACAAAAACACACATTGAAAGTGGTAGCAGACAAAAGTATGCATCCTAATGGATTCAAGACTCAAGTGAACTTAGGTTGTAACTTTTTTATGGAAGCTTCTGTGCCAGATACATCAGAACTGCTTGTGAATATAGGATTGAATCATTACCTACAATTTAGCTTAGAAGAAGCAAATAAATATTTAGATGTAAGAATAAAGGCATTTGAGAAACAAGGGGAAACGATACAGAACAAAGCAGCGGAGATAAAGGCCCATATAAAATTAATGTTGTTCGGGATAGCTGAACTGCAGGATAAAGGCTTGAAGAAAAAGACCGATACAACTTAGGTTTAAGGTAAATATTGTTGTACATGCATCTGGAATGTTAAAAAGTTGATTAAAAATCAGAAAAATAAATGAATTGTCCAATGAAATGATATTTTATTATTATTAATGAATGTGTGAATTTTACATTGTAGTTTTTTTACTCTTTGTAACATTATGTCAACATCTACAATAGAAAGTTCACATATTAATTAAATAGCAGTAGATTAGTATTGGGTTAAAGGTGGTCTCAAGCAGTTAATTCTTTATTTTCTTCTTTACCCGGGCATCTTACAAAAATGAATCGAGTGACGAATGCCAGAAAAAACTGGAAAAGATAATATTGCCTTATTCAAAAAGACAAACTCATTTTGATTGGCCATATTTTGATCTTGCATACTTTCTTGGATGGATCTTCCTATTTCTTATGGATTAAAATATCTGTCTCTGATACCACCTTGTGTACTGTAGTTAAGTAGATAGATTATTATTATCATTAGTTTGTGATCAACAAAGGTGGAGGTGATGTAGGATGAAGGTAACTCCTTGCTAGAAATACTGGAAGTTGTTACCACTTTTTTATTAAATAAGAATTTGAGAACATTTTAAATATGCTTAAGTTCTGAACCATGATATTGTCATCTTAATTTAAGTGATATTATAACAATGAATTACTTCATGATTCAATTAATCATTAAAAACATTGATTTACAATTAGGTAGGTAGGTAATTAATTATCACAAATTAATTTTGTCATTACCATGTTGTAAGGTACTTAGTGCCTTTTCACAAACTCACAAGGAAAATTATGTTTCAGATTTTTAAGGGGTCATCCATAAAGTACGTCACACGTAAAGAGGGGGGGAGGGGGTCGACAAAGTGTGACATGGTGTGACAAGGGGTGGGAGGGGTCCTAAGTTTCGTGACATCACATTTCAAAATCTAATATATCTAGAGGTACTAATCGCGTAATTTGAAATATACCTAAATTATACTAAAAAATACCCCCACCACTTAAGCACAACTCCGTCGAAGTCGAAAACCTAGGAGAGTTAATGGGCAACCAATGAAGACATTAAATCAATAAAATCTTTTGTAGGAATTATTTCAGATTTAAAATCTAATTCTACTGGCCTATAATGCTGCCAAAAGCACCGTACCTCGCGCGTGATTTTATTGTTTCTATTTTTTTTGTTAATTTAATAATTTTTCGATGTGAAATTGCAAAACATGTGACGTCACACTACGGAGGGGGGGTCTTAGAAATGTGACCACCTGTGACAAGGACGGGGGAGGGGTCAAAAAATCATGAAATTCGTGTGACGTACTTTATGGATGGCCCCTAACATGCATTAGAAAATGTCTTACCTAATAAAAATTTATAAAACATTAAAAAGAGTCCGAACCAAAGCTATTAATAATTTTGATAATGTAAGCTTTTGCTCACCACTTCGCCTGCGTGAAATTAAATCGTTGTTATTATGATGTAATAAACAATAATACTGTACAGTTTCATCAAAATTCGTTCAGTAGTTTTTGAACTTTAAAAAAAAATAAAACCGACTTCAAATGCGTGAACACAAAAAAAACTAAAAATTAAAAAATATTGCGTATAAAAAAGTTCATCCCCAATTTTCCACCCTTGTGGGTGAAATATTTTCTTCAAATTCGCATGAAACCACCCTTTTGATAATACCTATTCAACAAAAAAATAATCGTTCAAATTGATTTATAATCGGCGGAGATATTGCGTATAAAAAAGTTCATCCCCAATTTTCCACCCTTGGGGGTTGTTTTTTCTATTATTAAATTTAAATGGGACCACCCTTGAGGTATTACCTATACGCCGAAAAAAGATTTGTTCAAATCGGTTCATAATTGGCGGAGTTATCGCGTAACAAACATAGAAAAAAAAAACATACGGGTCGAATTGAGAACCTCCTCCTTTTTTGAAGTCGGTTGAAAAGAGAAGTTCTCAAGTGACCGAGGACTACGTATTGGTTTAGTATTTCTAAGTTGGCACACTACAAGCTTCATGGCGTTCCAACGGGGATTAAGTTTTATGTGAGCCGATCCCGGCGGCACTGCAATGCCGGGCCGACCCGTGAGAGGAGTGGAGCGAGCCCCGAACATCCTCTCAAAGGACAAAAATCAGTTTAATATACTGGTCCCTCAGTGAGGGAACTTTCAGATATTAAGCTGAAAAGAACAGATACTACACTTTGATCTTAGCCAAAAGGCCGAGAAGCGATGTCGAAACTGGGCGACCCGAGGGAGGTCTTTATAGGAAAAAAAATCTGGACACCGCGGTACAGAATTTAGCTTCTCGATGTGCAGTGACATCTTGGTGTAGACAGCTGTGACAGCTGCTATTGTGCACCGAGCACGTTGGGTTTGCTTTTCAACGGAGCCCTAGCGCACTCTGTCGGCGTCCATGAGAACTACTTGAGTAGTTTAGTTACCTGCTGTGGCCGTTTAGTTTTAGTTCCACATAAACGACTGTATTATTTGTACTGGAAAAATTACTAAAAAAGATAGTGACTATGGTATTTCAATAATAATATCTTTTATCTCCTTTTAACCCTTTGCGAGAAAAGATAGCCTTCCATAGCAAAATTCGTCAAAATTGGTTTAGCTGTTTAAGCGACAGACAGTCATTGATAATACAGACTAAAGTCATTGACTAAAGTATTTTTTTTTTGCATTTTTATTAATATTTCAGTTGAGTTCATTAATAAGTACTTTTGTTTGAACTTAATTGATGTCGCCAGTTATTAACCCACCAGATAAGTTCTAGTGCATACTTGACGGTCTTTTCTGGATATCTCACTTTGCAAAAATCACCCTTACAAGCTTGAGTGGTTAAGCGGCAACTAATATAATCTGAAGAGTCCATACAAAATTCAATTAGGTCTTCAAGACCGCAATCGACTCAAATCCTGCTGCTCTCAGCTGATAAATTAGGGTTAATTTTAATTAATTTGAATATTTGTCAGCCCCAAGGGTGCCCAAGGTGGGAGACAGGAGCCGTTTGGAAGGAGCTTGCATGAAATTAGCATTTGGGGTTAAAATGAGCCGTGCTTACCAATGAATGAGTATTGCGTATGAGTCTGCTTACTCGAGCAAAATATTAGATGCATGGACTGCAGGTTTTTATTGTTCAATGCCATTAAATTGGTAGGAAGACGAACTTAGAGACATAAAACTTCCTCAGCCAGTTATCCTGTATTGCTGTTTTGCTACAAACAGTAACTTCGGTTTATACTGTGGTATTGTGTAGGTTTACTTCCTAGCTACCGTGAAAATGTTCAAAAAACATCCGATATTTATTTTAGTTTTCCAAAAGACTTGACTACTTTATCTGACAACTTACCCACGATAGAAGAATATGTTTAGAAAAATAAATTAGATCTATCTTTTATGGCTAATCAAACGGTTCAAAATGACCGCGAAAGACAAGAAAAAAAAACGGTGTAAAATGTTCATTGCACAGTGTTTCGCAGACCGGCTGAAAGCAGTCCAACTGTCTGCACGTAAAAAATATTTTTTACCTCGCATTTGAGATCCTTTATCTCTATCTCAGACTAATAAAATATGTATTACGGGACACTTCGCATGTACCTACTTGGAATTTTATATTTTGCTAGTCTACCTAGCATCAGCTTTCTTAGAGCGATATGGTCATGGGTTCCTGGAGACAACGCGAACTTAGTACGAGTTACCCTCTAGTCTACGAGGGTCAGTCATGATGAGTTGTAGTTTCTTTCTGGGACACCATGAATGGAGTTCAAGGCGTCCCAGTGGTGGACTTATTTAAGTTTTATGTGGGCCGATCCCGGCGGCACTGCAATGCCGGGCCGACCCGTGAGAGGAGTGGAGCGAGCCCCGAACATCCTCTCAAAGGACAAAAATCAGTTTAATATACTGGTCCCTCAGTGAGGGAACTTTCAGATATTAAGCTGAAAAGAACAGATACTACACTTTGATCTTAGCCAAAAGGCCGAGAAGCGATGTCGAAACTGGGCGACCCGAGGGAGGTCATGAAAGGAAAAAAAATCTGGACACCGCGGGCTAAAATATTGCTCCGGAATCGAGTGTGCCATCTGTTTCTCCAAGTGTGACTCACTGAAGCAAGCGGTCGCTAAGTTTGGTTTGTGATGCTTTGTGTTGTGAATGCTATTTCTGGCACGACTTCAGCGCCCTCTATTGAAACTCATTGTGATTGTGTGTGTAGTTAGTAGTAGTATTTAGTGCATGATATTTTCGCAGTGGAGAAGTGGTCCTTCAACATTACCTATTTTATTTAAAAAAATAATATTGTAATTAAATCGGCTTGTGGAATTTGGTTGCTAAACAATAAAATGTGTTGCTTGTTATTTCTATTTGCCGAAAACAATCTTAAGTAATTTTACATATTACCTACTTTTATTTTATTTTTTAAATTTATTTTTGCATTATTTATTTGGTGAACAAATCGTTGCCTATTTTTTTAATACAACAAAACAATTTAAAAATCCAAAAATATAAGTAATCCGAGTCCAACAAACCAGAGAAAAAAAAACAGAAGAGAGTTTTAAACTTCTATGGCGCTTGATCACATAATAATAATAAGTATCATCATCATCATCATCATGTCAGCCATAGGACGTCCACTGCTGAACATAGGCCTCCCCTAATGCTTTCCACATTGATCGATTGGTAGCGGCCTGCATCCAGCGCTTCCCTGCTACCTTCACGATGTCGTCGGTCCACCTTGTAGGTGGACGTCCCACGCTGCGCCTTCCGGTACGCGCTTGATCACATAATAATAATAAGTACTGGCTTGATACACGAATCGTTAGATTTTTTTCATGTCACAGCAAAGGCTTCGAAAATGAGGGTTGCAACGAATTGGTTTAATTTAAAATTATTAAGTTGGCTCAATTATTAATTTGGTTGTGCTTAATGTCGACATAGATGGGACTGTAAGGGCATATAAATAAAAGACAGAATTCAAATAAAAGCTTAGCTTTATTACTCGTTATATTCACGAAGAAACATCCCTCACTGGTATCAACAAGTCTCCATGCTGACATTGCTAGTAGAGATACAACTTATGTTTCACCGTATT